CTGTGAGGTGGCAGAGCAGGGCCTGTCTCCTATTAAGCAGGGTGGGACAGGTCTTACTCTTCCTTTTACAAACAAGAAAATGGTGCTTTGAGGTGGGTCCGAGGTCACGAAGACAACAAATGCTAGAACTTCTTTTCTTTTCCCTTTATTCTGATTCTTCCTATAGTGCAAATGGATATACTATGTAAGTTAAAGTTTTGTCACAAAACTCATAGGGATAAAATGAGAACATATACTTAAAAGTTTTTTTTGAAACGGATCAAATATTGTGACCAAAAATCACCCCCCTCCTTGGCCCTGGTGTGGGGCAGGTGCCCAGTGGGAGCTCAGACGGAAAAGTCGCACTGTATGAATTCAGATACAGGACGGTAGCTGCTATCTTCAAATTGGTAAATGAAACGTGGCCTTTGTGCTTCCCGGGACAGTCATCAGGTCCAGGCGGTCAGAAGGGTCATTCCTAGACGTGGAGCAGGGTGGAGAGCTGGCGTCAGCCCAAATCAAAAGTACACCCCGTCCCCTCTCCACTCTTTAACAGGGCGCAGTGACCTCTGGCTAACCCTGTCTCCTGCACGCACAGGCAGTGCTCTGACTGCCTGTGGTTCATGGTCCTTCTCTTTGTTCATAGGGACCCTGGGGACACGTCTCGTGTCTCACGTGTGGGATTTGGATGTGTCTCTTTATCTTAATCCTCAGTTGGATATCTGGTTTGTTGTTTCAGTGTTTCACAGAAGTTCAGGAGGTACGGCCAAGGGATGAGCAGGTTTTGGGTAGCAGGGAACTCTTCCCAGTTCCCTTCAAATCACACCACCTAGAAGGCCCCTGTGTGCAGGAACAGACCCATACACACTCCTAGGTCCTTCCCAGGTTGGGACCAGGGCACAACTCCAGCTTCAAAGAATCCTGCAGAGAAGTCTCCAAGAAATATGAGTTCACAGTATGAAATAAAAATAGACTAAAATGAGAAACGTGACAAGAATATCTAAGACATCTAAGTGTTTGTGATTGGTACCCCTAGAATTGTGCAGTGTACAACCCACACAATTGTATACGTCAGCCATGAGCCTATCCTCTGTTATGGCTATTACTCAGCATTGTCCTGGAAAGCCAAGAAAAGGCAATCAGACCAAAACAAAAAAGCTGTGTAAAGATTAGGAAAGAAGGAACAACGCTGTTGTTATACATATATAGTATGGTTGTCTACCAAGAAATTCTAAAGGAATCAACTGATAAACTTTTACAGCTATTAAGAGAATTCAGTAACATAACCAAACAAAATAGCAAAACACCAAATAGATTTTCTATATATCAGTAAAAAATCAATTAGAAACAGTAAAGCTATAATGGAAATTGGCTCAGAAAAAGGAAATAAATACAGAAGAACAGAGTATCCAGCAACAGACATGTAAAAGTGAGAATTTAGTCCATGACCAAGGTGACTTTTCAAATGAATAGTGAAAGAATGGACTTTTCAATAAATGCTATTGGAATAATTCATAGAAATGAGTTCCAAGTGAACTAAAGACCTATTTCTTTCTCTTTTGCTTATTTTTTGTGAGGAAGATTGGCCCTGAGCTAACATCTGTGGCCAATCTTCCTCTATTTTATGTGGGATGCTGCCACAGCATAGCTGGACGAGTGGTGCTAGGTCTGTGCCCAGGATCCAAACCTGCGAACTCTGGGCTGCCAAAGCGGAGTGTAGAAACTTAACCACTACGCCACCAGGCCAGCCCCCGAAAGACCTATTTTTTTAAATGATAAAAGTATTAGAAGAAAATGTGCCAAAATATCACCATAATGTTGGAGGTTGATAAGGCATTCTTAAATAAGACCTAAAGAGCAAAATCCATAAAGGAGAAAATTAATAAATTCAGCTATATCAACTAATAATAGCAATAACAATAATAGTAAATATTTCTGTTGGCTAAAAACAAGATGTTAACAAAGTTTAAAAAACAATCGACAGGGCTGGCCTGGTGGTGCAGTGGTTAAGTGCGCACTTTGTGCTTCAGCAGCCTGGGGGTCGCTGGTTCAGATCCCGCATGTGGACATGGCACTGCTTTGCAAGCCATGCTGTGATAGGCATCCCACATATAAAGTAGAGGAAGATGGGCACAGATGTTAGCTCAGGGCCAGTCTTCCTCAGCAAAAAGAGGAGGATTGGCAGCAGATGTTAGCTCAAGGTTAATCTTCCTCAAAAAAAACCCCAAAGAACAAGCGACAGACTTAGAATATTTACTATATGTATATCAAAGGATTAGCATCAAGAATAAATATTAGGCTCTTACAAATGAGTAGAAAAAGACAACCCAATATGAAATGAACTTAGGATATGAATAGGCAGTTAAGAAAAGGAAATACAATGGCCAAGAATTATATAAAAGATGCCAACCTCACTAGCTGTTAAAGATTGACTTGTGTCCCCTAGTACCTCACAATGTGACTATATTTGGAGATAGGGCCTTTAAAGAGGTGATTTAGTTCAAATGGGGGTAGTTAGGATGGGCCCTAATCCAATAGGACTGGTCTTGTAAGAAGAGAAAATTTGGACACAAGACAGACACCGGGATGCACACACACAGGGGAAGGGCCATGCAGGCGGCCGTCTGCAAGCCAAGAGAGGGACCTCAGAAGAAACCGTAGCTGCTGACACCTTGATCTTGAACTTCCCGCCTCCAGAACTGTGAGAAAATAAATTTCTAATATTGAAGCCATCCAGCCTGTGGTATTTTGTTATGGCAGCCTTGCAAATCAATACAATAGTGATCAGGGAAATTGAAATATTTTTTAAATGAGTTACTGTTTTCACTCATCCAATTGGGAAATTAATAAAACGGTTAATAAATAGCAAGCATCAAGGCGTGGAGGAACAGTAACTATCGTTCTCTGCGGGTGGGAGTATTAATTGGTACAGGCACGGTAGAGGGTGATTTGCCAGCATCGAAAATGAAAATGCACATATCTTGAGATGTCGCAATCCAGCTTCTCAGCCTCTCCTCTGCAGAAGCACTTGGCACGTGAGCACAAGAAGACACATACAGTGAGGGTCACTGTGGAATTGTTGGTAAGAGTGGGAAAAAATGAAAACAGCTCAAATATCTATCAAAAAGGAGATGGCTACATACAAGGATTGTACTCTGTGGAATTAAAAATTAAAGTGTGGCAGTTGAAATTAATGAGGTAGCACTGTAGATAGATATGGAAGGTCTCCATATGGAGTACAGACAGGGAAAGTTTGTTGAATGGGAAAACAGAATGAAAATAATATGACAACAAATAGTTTATTAGTGTATACAGCCATGAGCCACATAACAACGTTTCAGTCAAATGGACCACATATACAGTGGTGGTCCCATAAGATCAGTACCATACAGCCTAGGTGTGTAGTAGGCTCTACCATCTAGGTTGTGTAAGTGCACATTGTGTAAGTTTGCACAACGAGGAAATCGCCTGGCAACACATTTCTCAGAACCTAACCCTGCTGTTAGGCAAGGCATCTGTATATGACTATGTGAATTGCCGTCTGGTAATAAACACGCCAACCTGGTTAGAGTAGTTACTTTTGGGGGACGGATTAGTGTTGGCAGGATGGCTGGAGGACAGTTTAGCTTTCGCTATACTGCTTTTTCATTTTCCAAGGAGCATGTAATCATGAATCACATTTATGATTTTAAAAAGCTGTTACCTGCTGACAGTTTTGTCAGTTTTGTGGTTATCTCTTGTGTTTATTCCATAATAACTGAGGAACAAGCTGATAGCTCCAGACTAGGAGCCGGCAGACTTATTCTGTAAAGGGCCAGAGAGTTAATATTTTAGGCTCTGGGGGCTACTGGCTCTTTTGCAACTACTCAACTCTGCTGTTGCAGGGCAAAGCAGCCACAGACGCTATATAACGAGTGAGCAGGGCTGTGTCCCAGAAAACCTTGTTAACGAAAACAGCTGGTGGGCGGGATTTGGCCTGTGTGCTGCAGTTTGCCAACCTCTGGCTTAGACTAAGTTTGTTACATAACTAAAATACATTTTGAGTAAGTATTTTTGCTGTATAGCAAAACATTCTTTCCTATTAACCAACTGATTAGAGAAGTAGTTGTCTCTGGGGCCTTGCCTAGAAGATTCAGATTTTAGATTCTGGCCATATCCTTAGAGACCAAACGTCCATTCCGGTGGAGATAACCTATCACCCTGGCCATCGCGGTGGTGACCATTGACCTTCCCAGCAGGAGAGTTATGCAGTCATCCACATGGGAGGGGGATAGCGACTGCGACAGCTGACTCACTGAGTCAAGGTTTGGTGGCCTCAGAGGTTACTCCTGACCATTCCCAGGTGCGGAGCTGCCTTAAAGCAAAGCTCTGACCACAGCCTCAGCCGGGGTGGATTGTGAGGTGCGGAGAAGGAGGGCTTGGTGGCACTGAGCACATGTAGGAGAGGCTCGGTTCTGTGGGACACGGTGTCTCCCCTCACAAGTAGAGGTGGAAAACTCATCCGTCCAAGGCCGGCTCAGCCACAGGACTGTGCAGGGGGGTAGCGGGGCCTCCCTGAAGCGGTGAGGCCCTGGGACTGTCATGCTGCCCTCTCGGCCTTGGGCCCCGGGGCTGCCAACACTAACCCGGCAAGCTGAGAGGAATCAGGCCTAGGTTGTTCCCAGCTCCCACAGTCCCGGACCGTGGTACTTTCTGGGTCCGGAGATTCCAGCCCTGCACCAGAGAAGGGCTGATTGTGTGTGTGACTCGTGGCGGCTCCTGTAGAACTGGGGTTTCCGCTGTGATGATTTCTCTAGGAGGCGTGTGGGATCAGGGGGCGTTGTTCATGGGACTCAGTATTCAGTGATTGTTTGCGTGGTTTTTTCCACCCTCGAAATGTGGAGAGCAGCAAGGCCAGCACGACACACACCCTCTCTGTTGCTGTCCTCCAATGTAAGACCTGTTTGTGCTCCCATACTTCTTTTGCGTGGGGCTGGGGGGCAGTCCACCCGCAGCAAACGAAAAAGAAAGAGAAACCATACCTGCTTCGTGGTAACTTCTTTGGTGTGACTTCTCCTCTGGGGTCCACTTTGAACAATCAGGAACAGAGGATCAACCAACACATCAATACCCCTGAAGGAGCTGCCTTGGGAAAGACTGGAAAGTTCTGGCTCAACCTTTTGCGTTTCGCAGGAGTGAATACTTCGCTGGGGGGGAGAGGCGGCGGTTCCCGCTGAGGTCGAGGCTGTCCTGCGTCTTGCCTGTCCTGGTCACAGGCTGTTATTTCCCAGCATATGAGTCAATCTTGTCTCTCACCTACATTTCAGTCCAGGTCAGTGTAGGCTCTGAGCGCCACCCGTCCGGCACTCCCAAGTCCCAAGTCCAGCACATGAACTAGCAAACCAACAGGTTACCGTATTTACTCTCATGACACGCCCGCACTCTTTTCTCTCAGATGTCTTCACTGTCAAACACAGGAGAAGGGCAGGCACGTTGCTAGCGTCTGCTTTGCCCGCTTAGTTCTGAGCAAACTTCATGCACCTGAGGGTCTCTGCGCTGTAGGCACTAGGCAGTTACTTTGAACCTAGATCTCCCAACCCTGCTTCCTTCGTCTACACCACCTTCTTGGGTCGTCTTACGTGATGTGAAAGGGAGCGACGTATTGGATTATGGCGGCAGGTTTATGTCAGAGAGAGACAGGCGCACAGGGAGAGAGGGGAAGGGTGTGAGGTGAGGCGGCCAAGCCCGGTTCACAAGGATGCGACCCATGGCTCCAACCTTGGGACAGCTGGCTGACAGGGGGCAAGGAGAATGACCCCAGGGAAAGGTTCTAAGGGTTCTTTCCTCCCCTAGGCCTGCCGGGAGCCAGCAGCTCCTCACTCCTCAGCTTAATCCTTCTTGTTCTCCAGCATCAGCTTCTGGTGGCTGTTCTCACTCTCAGGGGAAAAGACTAGACAAATGTCAGGTGGGCGGGTTTCTTCTACTCGCTTTGATTTTTAAGGGTGCTTTCTGGAAGATGTGAGGGGTGGACTAGGTCCATGCTTCAGACAACAGCAAAGCAGGGTCATAGGAGAGGGGGAGGGGACTGACTAAAGAGACAAGTGGGGAAGGATTCCCAAAAGCTTACCACAGCACTCAAAACTTGGACTTCCTTACACTTATTTTCTGATTTAAGTTGTTTTTATTTACTTTTTATTTATTTTTTGCTGAGGAAGATTCGCCCTGAGCTAACATCTGTTGCCAGTCTTCCTCTTTTTGTATGTGAGCCACCACCACGGCATGGCCCCTGACAGATGAGTGGTGTAGGTCTGGGCCCGGGAACCAAACCCCGGCTGCGAAGCAGAGCACAATGTACTTAACCACTAGGCCACCGGGGCTGGCCCATGTTTTTATTTTTAATTACATGTTTTAATCCAGCCCTCCTGATGAGAAAAGCAAGAACGTCTAAGCACAGTTTTTCATTTTTTGGTTAAATTGGTTTCTTCTCTTCCATTCCATTTGCCCCTCCCAGGAGTCAGGAGGACTTAAGTCTGGGATTTCCTAGGGGTCAACGTTTCTCAGAGTGGTTGCTTGCCTTGCTCTTCCCAACCACATGCAGAAAACAAGACGGCCTACATAGCTCACTGCTAGTGACCTTCAGCCAGCAGCGGTGACTGGGACCCGTGGGCATGGGGCTCCTTTCTCTCAGTCAAGTTCTTGAGCGTCCACGGGGGATTCTGCTAGGGCTGGGAGGCAGTGGGTTATAAATCCCACCGGTTGGGAGGTTGACTTGGGCCTCGGGCACGGAAGACCTAGAGTGAGTGAAACACTGGGTTCGGGTCCTGGTGGAGACCTCGTGGGCCGTGGGGACTGTGGGTCTGGTGGCGCTTGTGGTCCCCTGAGAAGCTGTGACCCGAAGGCCATGACCATAGCCACAGGCGGTGGGAAGGCTGCAAAGACGAGCTCACCTCAGGATACTTTATTTCCAAGCTTAAAAGTAAGCCTTTCTGGGAGCACACAGGACTTTTAGGGCAGTGAAAATACTCTTGTAGGACACTTTAGGGGTGGATACATGTCATTATCCATTTATCCGAGCCCACAGAATGCACACCACCAAGAGTGAACTTGAAATGTGAACCGTCAACTTGGGGTGATGGCGATGTGTCAGTGTAGTTCATTGATTGTAACAAATGTACCGCTCTGGTGCGGGATGTTGATGATGGGAAGGCTGGCATGAGGATGGCATGGCTGAGGGGATGTGGGGAATCTCTACCTTCCTCTCAATTTTGCTGTGAACCTAAAACTGCTCTAAAAGAAAAAAGTCTAAAAAAAATTTAAAAGTAGGCCTTTTTGTAAGGACAGACATTTCTGTGTCCAGGAAATAAAGGCAGGATCCTGGCTCAGGTAGGGCAGCTTGCCTGAGTCCTTGGGTCACTGGTAAAACACAGAGCTTTCATCGTCTCTTAAATCTTTCCTGGCTCACAAGGGCCTGGCCTTATCTCTCTGATAAAAAAGGTGAATTATTTACAATGGAAACAGGGAACTGAGAACAAGTTCTAAAATCACGGAGGCAAAGAAACTATTCTCAGGCTTAGGCAGGGACCGTCTGGATCCCCCTTCCTCTCGGCCTGTCATGTGGTCATGGACCAGAAGACAGGAGAGAGGCTGCAGGACTGCCAGGCCTTTTGAGTTGATGCATGCAGCTTTGATATTAGGCACGGCTCTGAGCTAAGAAACCACCGAGAAAATACACGCTAGTCATTAAGGACCATGTACTGATGCCCCTGACGAGGGTCTGAATCAACCTCAAGCACAGCTGGGAAGTAGAAGTGGGAGACCCTGACCCCCGTTCTACACTTGTCTTTTGCAGCAACCGGAAATGTGGAGCTCGTAAGCCACTCCTAGAGAAAAGCAGATCTGATAAGCCCAGGGAGTTTCCCTAGTGTGAATTCATTGAATGTTCTCCCTCTCTCCAAGGAATACTTGTAGTTAAAAAGAAAACATGGGGGCTGACCCGGTGGGTTGTAGTTAAGTTCTTGCCCTCTGCTTTGGCAGCCTGGGATTCATGGGTTCAGATCCCAGGCATGGACCTACACACTACTCATCAAGCTCTGCTGTGGAGGCATTCCACATACAAAACAGAGGAAGATTGGCACAGATGTTAGCTCAAGGCCAATCTTCCTCGCCAAAAGAAAGAAAAAAAAGAAGACCAGTGAGAGCCATCTGAGGAGTCATGCTCTAAATAAATTAAATTCAGATGGCGCCTGAGGAAAACAACTGTTTATCAACCAGTTAGGTGCCCCTTCTCAAAATCTGTTAGGATTCCTCTGGGATGTGCTCAGGGAGGCCCCTGGAAAAGGCAGCCAGGGCAGGACGTGGAGGTGACTCTGATCCTGTGAAGCAACCTTGGAGGAGCCCTCTCCCTTTTTGCCCTTGGGTGGAGGCAGAAGAAAGGTGCCCAAGAAGACTGGGAATGGGAACCTTCTCTTTGAACATGGTCCCATTTTATTGTGTGGAAACAGTGACAAGAATTTTCCTTTCCTAGAAATGGCAGGTTCCAGCAATTGGGGTCGGGGGGAAACCAGTAAAATTGAGCTTCTGGAACAGACCCAAGAATCGCTCCAAGCCTCCATCAGTCGTACTTGTTGTGGTTGGAGCCTCAATATCTCTCTTTTCAGAATCTTGGAGCACTTTATGAATCATACTGCTGCACGTGATACCGACGTCTTCTTTCTCCCCCTGGGTTAGCCTCCCTGAGGGCAGAGGCCCTTCCCTGTCTCTTATATCATCTTGTACCAAATTCATTTGCTGGGTGCTCGGTCGGTTCAATAATTCTTTTAAAGATGGTCTTTTGTAACACTGCTTTCATAGTTCTGCTTTTATTGAAAAGGAGAAAAAAATCTGTTCACAACCACCTTGCGAGAAACTTTCTTACAGCTCATGCTACCATTAAATAAAACTTATGCTTACTGTTAATTTATTATTAAATGAATTAACTCTCAAATGAGTAAAACCTCTTAAATTTTATTTTTTTTTAATTTAAACACGTGATGATGGCAAATGTCATGATGGAGATAAATTACGTTTTAATAGCAAAGAGATAATTGGGTATTTAATATATGGAGTTATCTAAAAACCAAGGAGTGATTTGGAATTTTATATTTTTTAATAAATCACTATTGTGTCGAAGAGGAATAAGGGATTGAGGGAAGAAGGTGAAAATCTGGAATCTGATAACACAATGCCTCTTTCTAGCACTAGAAATATGACAACTACCTTCTCTTGATAGCTGTAGCTGTTAAGTTCCTTTGCTCCACAATATTATATGAGAAACTCTTGAATAAAATGTAAAGTTAGGGGTCAGATGGGGAACACGTCTAGCCTGTGAGTTGGATCATCTCTTGGAAAAATTGTGCCTATTCCACGGATAGACAACCAAACACTGATCATAATTACGACTATTCAGGTCGCTTAGCCAGTCAACTTCAGCCAGTTGCTTAGACTTGTTTTCTCTCTGTAAAATGAGATGTAACACTAATTCCTGGAAATTCAAGAAATTCATTCAAGTATGTAAGTGTCTTAAAATTGCCAGGTACTTTTATTTTATTAATTTTATTTTAAAATTTTTATGAAGTACAACTTAAAAGTCTTTAAAAATTTTTTCATTATGGTAAAATATATACAACATAAAATTAGTTATTTAAGCCTTTAAAAATGTACAGATCAGTGGCATTAATTACATTCACAATGTTGTACAACCGTCAGCACCATCCATTTCCAGAACCCTTTAATCACCCAAACAGAAACTCTATACCCATTGAACAACTCCCCATTTCCCGCTCCTCCCAGTTCCTGATAAACTCTGATCTACTTTCTGTTAATCTAATCTACTTTCTGTTTCCATTAATTTGCTTATTCTAGATATTTCATATAAGTGGAACCATACCTTATTTGTCTTTTTGTCCCTGGCTTATCTCATTTAGCATCATGTTTCAAGGTCATCCATGTTGTCACACGTATCAGAACTCCATTCCTTTTTATGGCTGAATAATATTCCATTGTATGTATATAGCTCATTTTGCTTATCCATTCCTCTGTTGATGGATACTTAGGTTGTTTCCACCTTTTGGCTATTGTGAATAATGCCACTATGAACATTGGTATACAAATATCTCTGTGAGTCCCCGCTTTCAATTCTTTTGGATATAGACCTGGGAGTGGAATTCCTGGGTCATATGCTAGTTTTATGTGTAAGTTTTTTGAGAAACTGCAAACTTTTCTTTGTCTTTTGACAATTTGACTATAATATGTCTCAGTATAGATCCCTTTGAGTTTATCCTTCTTGGAGTTTGTTGAATGTCTTGGATGTGTAGCTTCATGTCTTTGATCAAATTTGGGAATTTTTCAGCCAT